GGAAATGCACTGGACTATGGTGATGGCACATGGGTGATTTGGTGACATGAAGTCCAAAGGAATTGGACTTGCAACTGAGGGAAAAGTGCACACCATGATGTAAAAATAAACTATTATAAAAAAAAAAGTCATGTAATATATCTTTAAATCACCCCCAAAATGTTCCTGGCAAGTGGTCATACAGCTCTTTTCTTTCACAGCATCCAGCACTAGAGAAGTTCCATGTCTTGCCCTGAATTTTCCTTGTTCAGGTAGGCTGGATGGGTAAGTGTTCTTATCAGCCCTGAGTTTGCTTCCTCAGCCCAACTGTGGTGATATGTAACTGACCAAAATTCTCATATTACTCATGGAGTTATAAGAACTCAGTCAAAGCTGAAGTCAGATTGCCAAACTTAACCATAACATCAGAATGGGCACTCACTTCTGCCCACCCATCTCTTTTCCTACCCAGACATTCAATATGGAGCCTCTATCTTGGTTATCACCATTAGCTTGTACTCAGTCTTGTTTAAGATTTGAATCTGTTTCTCTCCCTGAAGGTGAGAAACCACATTTTCTAGTCTTGTGTTTTGCTAGTTACATTTCTTTCTAAGGCTGAAGTCTTCCTGCAAATGCTACTACATGTATAGTTTCAAATGCTTGGTCAAGGATCAATTGCATCAGCAACACTTGAGAGGTTTCTTTGCTTTTAAAACAACCTGTTTCTGAACAAATCTTCCTAAACCTCAGTTTTTCATTGGTAGGGATGAAGAGCTCATTTTGCAGAATGATCAGGAAGATTAATAAAATTATGTATGTGAACTGCTTAGCATTTATCCTGACTCAGTCTAAATGGCAAACGCTACCGCCTGCTATTATCATTGTCAGTTGTACACTGTACCTGCAGCATCTCCTTAAAGTCTGACCATAACCCTTTGAACAGATGAGATACAAACGTATGCTGTAGTTTAATAGTACCTGGATCTCATCTTTGCCTACAAGCCATTCTCTCAATGCTTGTACCTGCTTCTAAGACACAGTCCTCAGCACACTGCCATTACATGTGAATTTCTGTACTTGTGCATTGCTGCTACCCTGCAGCAGCTTTTTCTTATATTTCCCATTTCTCTACAAAAGGAATAATGTCTCATCTTCACTTTTGTAAAGCCTCACAAATTATTAATTTTTAGTCGATATTCTTGATTCTGTTACTGTATTGCCCCATGCTGTACTCTCTTACGCTTTTTCAGGCTGCAAGTATACTCATTACAGAAACTTCAAACAAGACAGACCATGAGGAGAACAGAAAAATATAAATTCTCCAATTTCAGATAATCACAGTGGGTATTTGGCATAAACCTCTCATATCCAATATATTTATATAATAGAGCTGACATAGCATAGAAAATGTTTCCAGTCACAATAATTAGGTAGAAATAATTATCTTCATTACCTCACCTGCCAATATATAATGTAGCTTTCACTGCTCTTCTGTGAATTTTTTGAAAAATACCATTTCTGTTAGCCATATTTTTCTGCCTACTCTGCTTACCATCATTCTTTATTTCCAGTAAACATGGACACATCTGAAAGGAATTATTATCGTGAAGTTCTAAAGAGTTATGAAATGTATTGAGAATTATTTTCAGAACTTGAAAAAATTTATCATGTAAAGAAACATAAGCAAACTTGCCTTCATCTCCATCATCCCCAAAAGGGTAGAAAAGCGCAACAGCTAAATTGATGAACACAGCCAAGTTGAAGGAGATGCTTCCCCAGAGTGATATGTGCCTCGAGAACCAGAACAGCGCAGGGTTATCTGGGGAAGGAGATGGGTAATGGCACAGAAGAGAATAATTGACTTTGCTTTCAACACATGAATCCTCTTGAAACAACATTTCACTAAGTGCAATTTGTAACGTTCTACACAAGTATACCTAAGCAAACATCTAATGGGAATGATTTTAAGACAGTTTATTATCAAGAACACAGGGAAGCACCTGCTAGATCCCTTCTACACCCTTTTGCCAGTTTACACCCAAACCATGTAGAAGGCTGAGTCATACTGCCACTGGCAAAAGTGGTCAGAAAAACTGGCTCTGTAATAACTCTAATACATCTCTAAGTAAACAAGGAGAAAGTTTAGCAGCTGCCTGGTCGCTTTAATGGCAGGTACTGCTGTATAACTTAGTAATACCTGCAAGTTTGCACCATCCTGTGCCTAAAAATCATTAAAAAACCCCAAAGCCCAAACCACGTACAGATACATTTCTGATGACTATGACCCAGTCATAATTACCTGAAATTCTGAAACTCAACAGCTGACTCAGTACCAGTACTCAGTATGCAGTACTGGGAACTAGTGATGTATAATATTAGAATATTAACTAGGTTTTAAACCTGAATGCTTCCTAGATTTCCAATAGCAGCAAAAAATGGAAAGTTTTACTAAGAGTTACAAATAAATGGAAGCGGCGTTGACTCAGCATTTTCAAAACAAGGATTCTGTACCTGTCGTGAGAACAAACAGATGCATGTCCTGAATATGGACTGCAGGAACCCAAACTCAGTTCTTGTCACTTCCCCTAGGTGATCCAGCAGGCCTGCCTTATGTATAAGTCGACCACTGACTTCTGCAGGTCCTGTTCGCTCTCTAGCTCTCTAGCTCTTACGGCAGGTTTCTAACACTGGAGCCGAGGGGACAAAACACACCATTTTCAAAGAGAAATGAAAAATTTTCCAAATGATGTTCTGTGTATTCCAGTCTGGGACCTGCTGCTTCCTGGCAAATATGAGACCCAGACCTCACAAACACTAGTTTGTTATTCATTTTATGGTTTTTGTCAAAGAGACAAATGGTAATCTTTATCTGGAAAAAAACAACTGAAGTTCAATTCAAAAAGTAGATTATATTCAGAGTTTACAAACAGATTTGAAACATGAGAAAATACGAAATGAGAACTGTATTAGACTGGTTTTTCACTAAACTTGTCACACGGCCGTATTTGAATGCATGCATTGCAAAATCTATTGTTTGGTCCGGCAAGGTACATGTGCTGAGAGAATGACTTACTTTCTAAATGGATCTATTCTAATCAAGGATTCAGGCAAGATGGGATGCTGGAGGCACATCTCTCCAGCCGCTTCACAGACTGTCAAAGCCTGTCAGGGCTGATGCAGAGACCACAAACATGAAGATGCTGAATGCAACACCACACAACACAGCTGCCACTTCGCGTGCCCTGATACTTAGAAGCCATAGCACCAGCGCCATAAGCGGTCTAAAGGGTTTGGGTTTTCTGTTTTCATTAAGCTTCAGACATTGAGCTTACATTCTGGAAACTGCAAGTGATTTCCCAGACAAGAAATTAAAACCTAAATTAAATGAATGTTTTACATGTTCCCAAGGACCAACTTGTCTCCCCTGTGCTCAAGAGGCACCATTCCTGTTTATGTACTTACTCCTGATTTTCTTCTGCCACTTCATTTCACTGTAGAGATCTTCTGTTTGCTGGAAAAAGTCATTCACTTTGCTTCCTTGCTCATCCCTCTCGGTTGTGTTGAACACACGGAACTTGGATTCTCGTGTAAGGTATTCACATATATTGGGCACAGGAAAAACGATTTGTTCCATGGTCCTGTCATGCCGAACAATCTGAAAAGGTCCATATGGAGGAGTTTTAGCCTTCGGACACTTTAGGTTGCAATTTGCTTTTAACATGATTTTAATATGATTTGATGAATTCAGTTATAAAAAGATATGCCAGTTGGAATAGCTAAGATATTTCCTATATATTTAATCTTTAAATAAGAGGAAAAAGCAAAGGTACCTCAAGTACCATACTGTGTCATAAATAACCAATCTTTGTTCTGGATTAGCATTAAGCCCTTGCTACCCGCTTGTGTTTTTAGGCAGGTATGTACTGGAGAGCTGACCGGCTATGCAACCGTAAGTGTGGTATTGGCACAAAGTGTTCTGTCCTTGGCCTCTTCTTCCTATAAGTAACTTCTGAGAGGAAAAATGACATATTTAACATGATGGGCCTGCAGGTTTACCAGGAAAAGTGTTTTATATCAGTAGGATGTGTTTTTATTCATGACAAAATATATTTTCTTCCTAAGAGTGATATCCACTCAAACTAGATCCAGGTGAATGTTTACATTATATTTGAACTTCTCTTATTTGACTGTTTAGACAAAAAACAACAACAACAACACACACACACACACAAAACCAGACTATTGTTAATAGCTTCCATATAAACCAAGGTTTGTACATATTAAATTTGAAGGTTCACATACATATGTGTATACTCTGCCCAGACATCAGGAATGAATCAAAATTGATGTAAACTAGAAATGTTGTTCTACTTCTCTTTACCAATCATTGGTATGCTAGTGACCGTGTGACCCAGTTCAGGAAGATGAGGCATAAAGAGAGATTTCTGGACAAGGGTTAGGAGGTATCTTACACACACACACACACAAAATAATAATAATAATATAAATCAAAAACCTAATACACAACACAAAGCTCTTTTTGGCAAGTACCCTCTTTCTTTCCCGCTTAGAACAAAATTAGTGGACGTGTGTGATTCTTGAAATGTTTGCTATTTTGCAACCATGAGAATAAGGAAAGCCTAACAGAAAGATGGGAAAGAGAGTCAAGTATAGAATACTAGTATCTCCAGACTTCCCATTCTATGAGATAATCAAATACTGTTGCTGCTTAAGCAGCTGTCAGTGTTTTCTGCACATCTAACTGAAGCTATCCTAAATACTATGCTATATATGCAGACTATATATGGTGACACTATCACAAAATAAGCAAGATGAAATTTATGTGTGGTAAAGCAAAATTCCTGAACACAGGTTAAAAAATATCAATTATAGGAAAGCTGAATTCAATCCATTTAGTGCAGAAAATATCTGTGTGGTGTACTCAATCCAACAGTGTGAACCTGAAAAATGAATCTCAGGGTGCATTAAAGAATTATTGTTTTCATTACTCGAAGCCTGGCACTTGACCCTTTGTGGAAGGTTATGTCTGATTCTGATTGTCACATGTTACAAGGGTAATGACAAAATAGAGGAATTACTGAAAGAGACAGGAGTGTAGTCATTGTAAAAAGCCGAAGACTGATAATTTTCCACAAAAGATTTTCAACAAATATTATTTTCTCCTTAGGCAAGGAATTCAGAGAAACAACTTGAGCCCCCAGGAATGACTCTGTAGACCCTAAATCACCAAGGTTCTTCAAATGCTAGAGCCAACCTCATGCTGAGAGGGGAAACAACTTTCTGAATGCTGGGTGAACGCTCCCACGGCCAGTACGAAGACTGCATCTTAATAACCTTCTTAACTGTTACTCAACATTGGATCAAATCCCTCCTGAAGTAGTGAGGTCTCTGTCATGGGAGAATTGAAAACAGAAACAAGAGTATAAGAGACCAATTCTTCCTTGGATGGGTGAGCAGACCAAATAATTTGAGGGCCTCTCTGTTTCTGAGTCGGTAAGTTATTGTTATAAGTCTTAACAACATCCATTACTGTGGCTGGGTTCCAGATGACCACACCCGTGCTGACCTCGGGTAGGGGACAAGTGACACATGAGAAGTTAACAACACTCCAGTGCGTTACATAACAGGTGTAATAAGTTAAAACTAACATGCTGCAGGATCACAGTGAGATGGCATTAATGACTTGCTTGGTATTTGAATGAAGAGAAGGGTTGATGACTGAAGAATTCAGGCCATACTCCCAGACCACCTCTTTGAACTGCTATATACAACTTATGTTATACACGACTTCAGGCATGCTTCAAAGCCCCTCAAATTCAATGTACCCATTAATCAAAAAGTGACCTTCCTCTGCCTTTTAACTGCCAAAGCTAGGCTCCTTCTGCATAACACCAACTTCTATTTTTTTTTAAAATTTATTAATTCATACAAGAACGGGGGTGTAGAACAAAGGTGCAGGGGGTGAGAGGATTTACCAGAGAGAGTGAGGAGCAGAATAGCTAGATCTACTGAAACACACTGCCGAGGAGAGCAGTGGACGGGACAGGAGAGGTCTGCTGTGCCACGTGGGTCAGCTCCCTGGCCAGGGATTGAACTCATGCTACAGTGGCTGGTAATAGCTTCATAGTGCTGAGTCTTAACCCCCTGAGCCACCAAGGAGACTCCTCACCAATTTCTATTTGTGCAAACTCAGGAGCATTCTGGTGCACATCATACATGTGCAATCTGACATCAAGTATCAACCATATATGCATTTCCTCTAACCTACTCATCTTTACCAACACAGCTTCATATCGAATCTACCTGCATTCTTTCCATTTACTTCTCCAGTTCTTTCTTCAAACAGAAACTTGTGTAATGTTTTAAATTTTCAAACCCCAACACCATTTCTTAAGCACCTTTCATTAATTTGCTTCTACCTGAAATGCTATGCCCAATCTTTAGAGTGAGAAACTTCTGGTCAATCTTCAGTATATTCTTTATGCCCCCCTTCTCTGGGAAACCTATCCTGAAGTTCCCAGACATCCTAATCACTTCTCTATATTCCCTGGGCTCTTTGTTCTATTCTGATACACAGCATTATCTTGATACATAGTAAATTCTTAGTAAACATTTACTGAATTTGTAGATTTACATTTGGCTTCTTATTGCTGGGAACCAATAAAACTCCAACTTCTACAGCAACTTCTATCTCTCACACTCAGGTATTAGTCCACACCTCACCTCTGCTCTTCCCTTCCCCATCTCTTGGGATCATCTAGCTTTGTATTTTGGCTTCTGGGACTATTCTAAGCAACTTCATGGTTTGATAGTCTATTTCTATGATTGGATTGATAGTCTATTTCTATGAATTTCTCCAGCTTCCTGACTTTGCCAGTCACCCAGTCCCTATGCACCTGATATATTAAGCAGGTGCTGCTGGCCCATCTCAGGGGTTCCACGAAGTCATATTCCCAGCAAAGCTGCAGTTTTCTGCATGTTTATAACTGTGAGCAAGGTATGCACTTGGGACACCAGCGATGACTGTCATGATTCTAGAAGCTTGGCCATGGAAACAGTAAAGTAGGTGATGCTGGATCCTGACAGTTAATAGCAGTGACACCATCATGCACTCAGCCAAGGAATGAACACACGGTGGTAAATGACAAGTGATAAACCTCGTCTGCTTGCTTCTGCCTGGTTAGCACTGCCAGCTGGAGAGCAAATGAGTGCAGCTAGCAAGTGGCAGGAGATGGGTCTCACACACAGGTGCACATCCAAGACGACCTGCACCTGTACCTAACAGTGGCTCAAGTCTCACTCACAAGGTTGGGGAGGCCAAACGCTGTACACTGAGAAGGGAAACTTCTAAGCCATCTGAAGTTTATGCTACAATGTGGAAAGCTCACGACTTCCTTCCCTGTGTTCTACACTTCTGTCTGCCTTCTGCGACAGAGACTCTATTTTATTAAACCTCTGACAGCTTCTGAAGACCTTTTCCTGAATGATGGCATATGTTACCGCACCCCAGATGCTAAACTATCACTGCTCTGTGAGGATTACTTCCAAGACCAAAAATCAAGACAAAAGCTACCTGTTAATTATGAAAGGAAGTTCACATCCAGCTCAGGTCAAAAAAAATGAAGACAACTTTGTTCTCAGAGCTCATCCCTCATCATCTAGTAAACATGCTAACAATTTATGATCCTCAATTCTGCTTCCTTGCTGGAGAACAAGATCATGAAAAGGGTCTGAAGTGCAAAGGAAACACATCTTTTCTGCAAGGAGTGTCCCTTTGCAGAAATAGTGCACGGTTACCTCGATCTGGGCTGTGTGGTTGGCATAATGTTTCAGGGCTTCGTCACCATCGTCTGGATCTGATCCTGGCTTGAGCATCTGCTGTAACAGTTTGTTGTGACGAGCCAACTAGAAGGACAAAGAAGGCAAAAAAAGGTTTTAGGTCTTTCTTACCCTTCCCTGGATCAATCTTTGAAATTACACTGTCCACTTGTGCATATGACTTCACAGTTCTGGGGTTAATGCTGATTCATTACATTTGAAAGGCAGAGGTATAAAGTCACAAAGATAAGCTACTATTACTATATCAATCTTCCATGCTGATTTGGTAGTACACGTGCTCTCGGTGTGAGAAACTATCTCTTCCAGAGTAGGTGCTCAGTTAGTATTTGCTGACTACATATGCTGGGTTATTGGAAAAGTCATGATACATCTTGGCACAGAAAACAGAAAAAAACACACCATGGCTTTGCTGACAACTAAATATATCTTCAATAAATATGTAACTGTGCCAGAAAGAAAAGCCCACAGTGACAGGTAACTGGTACTTCCCATAAAGAGATTTAAACTACATGCACCTATGAAACACCTTGAGCAATGATGCCACAGCCCAGTGGGCAGCGCCTGCACTAGAGAGGCTTCCTGTGCCCGCGAGACCAGGATCTGTATTTCAGAAGCTTCTCTAACAACACTGAATCCAAGGCTTACATTGGCCACTTGTAATATGTCTCATTCTAATGCACATTCAGAATATGTCTATGGGGCTTTGCAGGTACAGCTCTCAGTGGAATGGAAATGGAGCAAAACTTTCAGCATTGATTATCTTAAACTGCTGGTGGTGGAAGTCACCCTTCCCTCATTTGAATGTCTCCAGCCCATGCTGGCCATTTCTGTAACGAAATGGCCACACATTGCGCTCATGGTTTTCTTGAACAATTCTTGAGGTCTTGTGACATTTTCCAATTATGCCTCCAGTTCCCTGAAGGCTTCAGGAACACAGAATTGGCCACAGAATTCTCTGCGGAGCACTGTTCTGTGCCAGGCACTACCCTGGACACTTGGGCATGTGATCTCATTTGATCCTACCAAGAAATCCTGACCTAGGCACTATTATTATTCCTATCATTATTTCCCAGACAGTGGCACTGAGACACAGAGCAGTAAAGGGCTTGCCTGGGATAGCACAGCTGGCAAAGGGTGGCGTTGCTGCTGTGTGGTTTGGGGTCAGTATCCCACTAACATTACAGAGCAATGAACAAATCCTTGCATTATTCATGAGCCGCGAATACAAATTGTGAATATAAAATAGGGAGATAAATTTTAAACAGTAATCCAGACCCGATAAAATCAAATAAGCATTCTCTTGTAAGTGATAATTTGGTAAGTTAAATATTTATTCCATTGATGTTGCTCCAGAGCAAATCACATTTGAAACCGTCCTTTTAGAATTGATTTTCAGAGATATGTATAAATCACTCAAGAGAAGCATGCCTCGCTTTCATTTCCATTTTATTTTTGACTTCCATGTGAATGATACTGATTTTTATTACAAACTGTCATCATGGAACTTGTTGTAACTTGCAGGTGTTGCTAAAAATCTAAATAAGTTTCACAGGATAAAATTATTGTAATCAGGCCCTCCCTGGTAGCGCAGTGGGTTAAAGCATTACACTAAGAAGCTCAAGCACTTCAGCCTGAGTTCGATCCCTGCCTGCCCCGGAGGTAACCACATGGCGTGGCAGATCTCTCCTGACCCGCCCGCTGCTCCCCTCAGCAGTGTACTTCTTGATCTGCCTGTTCTGCGCCCCACTCTGTCCCTGGTGAATTCTCTCACCCTCCACATCTCTGGCCTGTACCCCACTTCTGTATGAATTAAATAAACAAATCTTTAAAAAAAATTATTGTACTCATATAGGCCCTTCAGCCTGTGTTATCAGAAGTGGCCAGTCCCTGAAGTTCAAACTCATGTTTCCAGAGTGCATCGGGAATTATGAAAGAAAAAGAACAGTTAAGCATGACTCCAATTTACTGACCCAGGTGACTGACAGCTCAGAGACGCCATTTGCCAAAGAAAAATACTGGAGAAGCAGATGCAGGAGGAGAGAATCAGGACTTTGGCTCCAGCCACATGAGGCTTTAGATGCTGTCTAGCAGAAGGCAATTAAGAGGCAGCTGGACATGACTCTCAGAGCCGTGGGCAGTGGTCAGGGCTTGAGCTGTCCATTTAGTGCTAGAAGAGTATGTCGAATGCTTAAAGTCGGGGGCTTTAATCAGATTGCTGCAAAGTGAGCTTAGAGAAAAGAGATCTAGGCAACTCCAAGAGAAGTTCAGAAGACCAAAGGCATGGAGGTGGAGAAATGTGGGCCAGCAAGGCAGGGATGAAGCCAGGGAAATCAGGTGACCTGGTGGCCCAAAGACCAAAGGACTTCAAGATGGAGGGAGATGTCATCGGGACCAAATGTCACTGATGATAGGTTGAAGCGAGGGCTGGTTCCACTGCTGACATTGAGAGCAGCAGTTTCAGGCAGAGGTGGACACCGAAGTCTGCCAGTAGGGAGTTTAAACAAGGATGTGTGGAGGGAGAGTCAGAACAACAGGCAACTCTTACAGTGCACTTATAAGGGGAATCAAGAAATAGGACAGAAGCTCAAGAAATGGACAGGGTGAAGGAGGGTGTCTATTTTTTTTTTTCCAGACAGGTGGGACATCCACTAAGCAATATCTTGACAAGCTAGTACGTAAGTGGGTGGGTCTGCATGGGAAGGAAGACATTCGCCCACAGTGGCAGCAGAAGGGACAGGGATGGTCTTATTAGGAGGGAGGCAAGGTGAAACTCCTTTCTGGTTCTTTTCATTGTCTCATTGGAGTAGGAAGTTGATACTGAGGATGAGAAAGAGGTGCTGGGAATTTGGAAGAGAAGATAGGAAAGTCAGCCAGGGAAGTGCAAGGACTTGGAAATGTCACAGGGTACCTTTTCTGTGACAGTGAGACCAGTAACATGTTTGTGTGTATTTCTCTGGCGACATTCAGCTTTCTGGGACGAGGCAGGAACAGGCAGAAAATGTAACTGATGAGACTGTGATTTGGCTGGGGGAGGTAAATGATACAGAAAAACAAGATACACAGGAATGAGACAGCTACACAAGGCCTTTGCAGAGGACACTGGAATCTAAGCTGGAACTGGAAGGAAACACAGCAGGAGGGACAGTGAGCAGGTAGCTGAATCAAAGAACGATAGTTCCTAAAGTTAAATAGAAATGGTAATAAGTGGTGGTCTGGAAGGGAGTGCTGGTTAGGGTGAGGCAGTCAAGGAAATGCAGAGGGCTCAAGGGCAGTGCAGACGGCATGCTGAGCGGTGACCAGGGCGGAGGCACCCTGTGTCTGTCATCTTGCCACTTCCCACACTCCCACCCTGGTCTGAGCCTCCATTTAATTAATTAATCAAGTATAGGAAATTTGCAAAGAATTACACAGAGAGAGCTAGGCCACTTCAGAGTGATTCGGAAGACCAAAGGCACCAGTAAAGGAGATGGAGAATGTGGGTTAGTGACGCTAGGGAGATTGGTGACCCAGTGACCAAAGGACTTCAAGATGGAGGGAAAGGTCGTCAGGCCTAATGCCACTGACCATTGACATGGGAACTGGCTGGAATTCTGTAACTGCCTTTCTACTGGACTCCCGGCTCCACCTTGTCCTCCAGAGGCTGCATCCTGCTCATCAGACCTCCTTTCTGCTCAAAACTCGCTGATGCCCCCAACACACCTTAGGTTAGGCCCCTTCCTTTATAGTCAAAAGGGACTATAAAATGTGTCCCCACTTCCTGTCTGAACTCCCCCCGCTCCTTCCCCTGCTGACTCAGACCTGACACGCTGGGCACCCGACTGTGCTGTCAACCCGAGGAGCACGTGAGAGTCTGGGGGTGCTGTTCTCTGGATTTGCTTCCTCCAGATGCCCATGTGGCTGGGTGCCACCTACCTTTGGGTTCCTTTCATGTGCTGTCTTGTCAACCACGCTTTAGCAGATCAACTCACTCACCTCCACCAACACATCACACCCCATTTCCTGCTCTGCTATTCTCCACAGCACGTACCATCTTCTGACAACCTGTTTTTCAATTGCTCTTTTTATTAGCTATCTCCAAGGCAGGAAACAGATTTTCTTTTAGCTTGTTCACTGCAGTATTCCCAAGGCTTAGAACAGTGTCTGGCACATAGAAGATGCCCAGTACACATTTGCTTAATCAATGGCATGCAAACTGAATGTAAATCTTTAAATGTGAAAAAGACGTTCCAAGGTGAGACTTAAATAAATTGCCTATGAGGGCCAACCTAGTGGGTTAAAGCCTCAGCATTATGAAGTTATCCAGAGCCACTGTAACACAAGTTCGATCCCCTGGCAGGGAGGTAACCCACATGGCATAGCAGACCTCTCCTGTCTCACCCAGTGCTCCCCTCAGCAGTACATTTCAGTAGATCTGCTGTTCTGCTTTCTGTCTCTGGTGAGCCCTCTTACCCCTCACACCTCTGACCTATACCCCAGTTCATAAATAAATAAGTCTTTAAAAAACGGCCTCATTTAAATATATATGTATTTATTAAAAACCTCTTTTTTACAGTCATTTTAAAATGTCAAAATCACTATAATTACTTGAAAGAAACAATAACTGTTTTGTGTGGGGTACGTAATGGCATAAATCAATGCAAATAATTTTCACTTAGTACATCTTGCTTAAGTGAAACATATTAGAACCTCTCACTTTCCAGTAGTCTTAGCAAGATGATTCTACAGTTGCCTTGTTTTATTGTAGATAATAGGTACTATAAAAGGAACTTAATAAAAAGTACCTGCTATATCCTTAGTGCCAAGAATAAAAGTTGGTACATAAAACAGACTCAAATATTTCTTGCATCACTGATGAATTGGGTTAATTAATGGCACGCACTGTATTTAAGTGGGGAAAGATTCACAAGTCAGTGAATTAACTGCTTCCTCTGGGAAGAAAGAAAAGCTAAAAAATCTGATTAGCTATCAAATGATCACAAAATTTCAATGTGTGAGAAATAATACATTTTAATGCTTTCCATGTTTCAGAGTTGTTTATATTTCACTCTCCACATGCTACTTGTAGA